AGGAGGTGACATTTGAGCTGGACTTTGAAAGACGAGCTCTCCACAGAACTAAATCTGGACCCAGTGCCTACAGAGTCAGCCTCAAAAATCAATCCTGCCACTGGAGGTGGGGCAGCCGGGCCCAGACTACCTCCCAAACAGCTCCCTGCCCCCAGGGTGTGTAGTTTTGCCATTGAGGGTGCCCAGGCTCTCCCTAGAGAGCCAGCCAAGATTTCCCAGGCACCTCAACATCGTCCTGCTGCTGCTCGCACCCAGCCTCACAGCTCTGGGTTCCCAGCAGACTCCCCTGGTCTCTGTGCCTTGAATGCAACTTGCATTTTCTTCCTCTAAGAAAAAGAAAATCATGCTTGCTTTTAAATTACATCCACCCTTTGCAGAATTCTCTGCAGACCTCAGGAGAGAAGAGCAACAGTCACCAGCGAAGGGTCCTCCTGGCTCTGCTGCCAGGCAAGGTGACCTGGAGCTGGTGATTCAATTTCCTGTGCCTCAATTTCCTCATCTGTACAGTGGAGGAAGCAGGGCTATGGGGCTGGAGTGATTGACAGAGGCAGTGTTTTCAGAATAGGACCAGGCACTTAGTGGCATCTGCTGAGTGCTGGTACCTGTGGGTGTCCTTACCCCAAGACTCTCTTCTCTGGTCATTAGACCTGAGCCCTCTGCGATTAATTAATACAGGGATCTGCAGGAGGCCAGAGCTGCATGTGAATCCCGGCTCAGCCAGCAAGCGACTGAACCTCTCCAGGACCCCCAGGACAGAACAGACAGGGCTGTGCAGACAAGCACGAAGCAACGGAGTCATGTGACTGGTACCTGCTAGGCAGGACAGACCTAGTAGGCAGCAGCTACTTTTATCAAAAACAGTGGCTTTCCTGGCACTCAGGCCTCCTCCCACCTGGGGTGAACCTCTCTGGCACTGGTATCCCCGCCCTGCCTGGACCCAGCTCTCTGCTAAGCACCTGGAAACACTGACAACCTGACTCTGTTGTCTCATGACTGCTCTGAGCAGTAGCTTCATCCAGCCTGGGGTGGAAAGATGAGCAGTGGTGCCCAAGACCACTGTTTCCCTGCAGACCCCACCACAAGCCCCCTGTGCTATGGGAGACCTGCCAGGAAGCCTTGCCTGCCCCAGCCTCCCCACACCCACTCTGGTCTCCCGTCAGTGTCATCCGAACTGCTCATTCAGGACGATTCTGTCCGGGTCTTCTGGAGCACTCTGTGTACAAATCTGTGACTTCCCCCAGACATCTATGACTTTTTTTCAACACAGACTGAGCTGAGCCGTGGACGAACATGTTTTTAGGACACTCTGCAGAATTGCTGATGTTATTTTTGAATCATTGGCGGCAAGGACTCTGCCAAAATACTCAAGGTCAAGAGACCAGCATGGTTCTAGGCAATCTGTACCTCTTAAAACAGTGACAAATATGTTATTTAATTTTAATGAGCTTTTTTGCATCTCAAATCTAATTACAGCATTATCAAGTACTGCTTTGAACTGCAGGTGGCTTCTCATTACGTGTGCGAAGCCTGCCATGAGCATTTTTCGTGAATACTAATAACTGCTTAATTTTACTATCCATTTTTTAAAAAAATAAAAACTTTCAGCAACTTAGAAGGCTGGGCTTGACAAAGCATCTGTGGAGGGTGAGCCACACAGCAACGCAGCTTAATTAAAAAAAATAAATACTGTATGTGGCCACCCGGAAGGATGACAGCTCAGGAAACCACGGAGGGCGGTGGACTGGGACTGCAGACTCACCTGGCGCACTTCCTGGAGGCTGTGTTTCATGGCAGGCTTATGGCTTCACATTCAAATTTCCCAATTTGCTTGCAGTTCAGAGAGAATGGTTCCGTCAACAGATTTTCTGGGTGACAGACTTCAGTAATAGGCCTGGAGCGAGAGGTCCCTGGGGACACGCTCTGGAAGCCTGTCGTGTGGACAGGTCCGGGGAGAAGCTGTGTGAGAAAGAGTCCAGCTGCCTCCCACCTAGGCTGGGTGGGGGAGGAGGGATGCAGCCACAGCTTAGCCACTGCCGTGGGTGAAAAGCATGGTGAAAGCCGTTAAAACCCACAGCCAGGAGCCCTCTCTGGAGGGTTGGCACAGTGTCTGGGGTTAGTGTGTGCTGCTTTATTTTGACAGTTGTTGAGGTTGAACTTTTTCTTTGGCTGGTCAGCTTCCTGAGTGGCACCTTCCCCAGGCAGAGGGTCTGGGAGGGAAAAGTTGCTGTTATAGTTTAGATCTAAAACGCTCCCCCTAAGGCTCATGTGTGTGGAACATGATTAGATCATGGGGAGCTATGTTTGCGGGGGGTTCATCCTCAATGAGCTCAGGTAAATGTGCTGTTAAGAGATGGGATCTGCTTGGAGGCGGTCACTGGGGGCAGCACCTGGAGGTTTGTCCCTGTCCGCAGCTCCTCCTTTCTTTCTCTGCTTCCTGACTGCCCTGGGGTGAGCAGCTCTCCTCCCCCAGGCTCTTCTGCCCTGCTGGTTCTGCCTTGGAGCCAGCCAACCATGGACTGAGCCCTCTAAAAACCACAAGACAAAACAAACTGCTTCTCCTTTAAAGTGCAGGTGTGGGGTATTGCATCTTAGCAACAAGAGAGCAGCTGATACAGTTGCGCGCTTGTCTTTTCATTCAGGAAGATCCCTGCACAGTGTGTGATGCATGGTGTGCATCTGCTCCTAGGTTTTGTCCCCACATGTGCATGCCCCATCTCTGATTTGGAGCTCCTGGAAAACACAAGTGACACCCAAAGCTGTCCCCTGCACAGTGAGGCCAGGCTGTTGATCTAGCTGCCCCTCCTTTTCTGACCCGCCCCCATATGCTATGGCTTTGATCTTAAATGCTCCCAAAGGACCATACGTAAAGACTTGGTCACCAGCCTGTGGCACCTTTGGGAGCGGTGGATCCTCTAGGAGGCAGAACCTAACGAAGGGAAGTTAGGTCACTAGGGGCATGCCCTGGAGGGGGTTCTGGAGCCCCGCCCCTTCCTGTCCTTGTTTCTCAGTCACTGAAGTGAGCGGCGTCCTCCATCACACACTCTGCCATGATGGTGCCATTTTGTACAGCCCCAAAGCAGCAGGGCCAAGCGTCGTGGACTGAAACCTCTGGAACCGTGAGCAAAGAAAAACCTTTCCTCTTGGGGTTGATTTGTTTCAGATGTTTTGTCACAGTGTAGGGAAACTGACCCACACACACAGACCAGCTCTGCTTCCTTCCTCAGGTCAGAGCCCTGCCTGTGCCTCACTCAGAGGGCACAAGGCCATGCTGGCCCAAGATCCTGCTCTCCACCTGCTTGTGCTCAGCAGAAAAGAGGCCCCCCAAACATGTCCAGCCTGATCCTCAGAATCTGTCCCATGGTGCCGTGATTGATGTGATTGGAGTGCATACACCTGGGGCCCCAGTGTAGCCACCCTAGGAGGCCATGGGACCCTTAAGAGGTGGGGCCTGGCGCGAGGTAATCAACTCAGGGGTGCTGCCCTGGGAAGACACTGATTCAGGTGTCAGGGAGCAAGTTAGCTGTCCTCAGGAGAGCAAGTTGCTATAAAAGGGGAAATCTGGCCAGCCCTGCTCTCTGGCTTCCAGTCTCAGCACTTGCTCTCTCCCACTTGCATATACTCCTCCCACAATATCACCTGCCAATACTGACCCAGCCAGGGGGGGTCCCTCACCAGAGCCAGAGTCATGCTGCTTGGACTGCAGCCTCCAAACCTGTGAGTTAAATAAACCTCTTTTCTCTATAAAATATCCAGCCTCAGGTGTTTTGTCCTAGCAGTGGAAAACTAATAATATGTGGCAAAAGGGAATTAAAATTGCAGGTGCAATTAAGGTAGGTGAGCAGCTGATGTTGAGATGGAAAAGATTGTTCAGGTACAACCAATGGAATCCCATGGGTCCTTAAAAATGGACTAGAAAGAAGGGACAGAAGTAAGTCAAAGAAATAGGATGTGAGAGGGACTTGCTCTGCCTTTGGCCTGTTTGAAATTAGCAAATGGGCCATGAGCCAAGGGATGCAGGTGGCTCTGGAGCTGGAAAGGCCAGGGAATGTTCTCTCCCCCAAGCCCATAAAGGAACACAGCCCCACAACACCTTAATTTTAGCCCAGTGAGGTTCGTGTCAGCCTTCTGTAATAAACTTGTGGGTTTAAGCCACTGAGTCTAGAAATGTGCGTGGCAGTAACAGGAAGGGAATAAGGAAGTGAATTTGCAGCTGAGAGCCCATCTGGAGGCCGAGGGCAGGGCTTCCCTGACAACATCACCATCAGATTAGCAGCTGAATTCAGAGCGGGCTGGGGTCAGACTATTTCTAACAACCTGCCGGTATCCACCCTCCTCCTTAGATTGGTGGCGTAAAGCATGCTCTCCAGACAGCAAGCCTGAGGCCCCCGTCATCCCTCACCGGGTCACGTGGTCTTACAAGTCCCAGGCCCTGCCTGTGCATTCTGTCTCTTAGGATGCTGGTGGCCTAAGAGTGACCACGCTGCCGGCCCCTCCAGGAGGACTCAGCTCCCCTGGGCTCCACAGAGGCTGCACCAGCCTGGCTGCTCCTATGAACCACCTCCCCCACACCGGCTTCTTGCTGGCCACATCCCACAGGGCTCAGAGCGGGGCTACACCTGAAGGCAGAGGGTATCCTCCCTGCGTCAGCCTGTCAAAGGGCTGCTGTGCTCCTCTGGCCCCACAGACGGTGGAAGTTAATGGGCCAACACCGAGGCCTTTGTTTTTATAAGAGAACAAGTGGTTTATGACAAAGAACAAAGTTTCCTTCTTTAGGAGGCCAGCCTTGGTGTACCCCCCCCAGCCCATTAAGCCTAGTTATCTCTTACACAACACAGCCACACAGGTACCGCTGCCACAGACAAGTTCATTGAAGAGAATTTATAGCCTAATTGTGCAGCTGTTGCCTTCTGAGTCAGTTTTAAGAGATTGTTACACAAGCAGTGTCATAATTTAGTCATGTTTTCATCTCACAACTATACTGTAATTACTGTTGTTAACAGTGAATGGTAAACAAGAGAGTGAAGAGGACCAGCCAGAGAGTGCTAACAAACCCCAGAGCAAGCGGGCGGGTGACACTGGCACCCTGTGGACCTGCCAGCCTCCGGGCTGACTGTGAACTTCAGCACACGGTATGTACCTGCGTAGCCACCGGGTGAGCACTGCACCCCAAATCCCAGGCAGACCCAGGCCTGCTGCTTCATTCTACTTCCACCCAGGACCAGGAGGGGACAGAATCCGGGAGGGTCGGGACTCGGGAGTGGCAAGCGCTAAGCAGCATGCCCGAGCAGAGGAGACATTCAGAGCACGTCTGTGCTGTATGCAGGAGGAGGCCCTGCAGCGCCACTGGAGCAGAATGCACAGGAAACTGCTGCAAAGGAGCTTCCGGCAGCCACAGGAACAGCCAAGCCTGCCCCCACACCCACTGCCCCCAGCTGTTGGCCGCAGGAGAAATGGCAGACCCAGCAGTGCAGGCCTGGGACGGCTTCCTGCTCCACTGCTAACACAGCAACGGTGTCCACATCTGGTCACAGCTGCACACCTGTGAGCCGACATCACGCCTGATGGCAGCAAGGGGCTGGCACAGAGATGTGGTCTGGGCAGAGTCTGCTCGACAGTCACAACATCACAGAGCAGTCCTCCGGGCCACCATGTCCCACAGTATCCTAAACCAGGAGGTTCGGGTGCCTTTGCTGCCCCCAGTGTGTAGGAAAGGTAAGTAACATAACCAGAGCCACCAGTCCAGAACTCTGCCCAGGTCTAACAGACCCTAGGTCCCTGGCTCCAACCCTCTTGCTGGCTGAGGTATTTGGTGCCTTTGTGTGCCTTTGGCCCCAGGGCAGAGGAGGCGTGGAGGGGACAAGAAAAGAAGGGAAGAGATGAGGTGGCCTGTCACCATCTGCTCAGAGATCCCTGCCCCCCAAACCTCGCCTCCACCCATCCAAAGCCACAGGCTAGCAGAGGAAGGTGATTAGGGAAGGTCCAAATGCGGTGGCTAACAAGGCTGGAAGACCCATTTCCAAAGTGCCCAAACCATAGAGAAAAATTGAAGGTCTGGAGACAACAATCAATAAACTCGAAGCTCTTCTAATGGAGAAGAATAAAGACGATGAAGTGACGAGAAATCAAAACACTGACCCAGAAAACAGGCACAGGCACAGAAAGGTCAGGGTGGTCCAGAGAAGAGGAGGGCAGCAGCAACCAGGAAGAGACTTCCGGTCACAGGCAAGGAGAGGGCAGGAGTGAGGCAAGTGGCAGAGGAGCCCTGGCACGCAGCAATGAACACCAGCTTGCACTGCCCCCTTCCCAGCTTCCAGGGCCCAGTGAGCAGGTGGCTTAACCTCTCTGACAGAGTGGCCACAGAGGCAAACTCAGGGCCTGAGAGGTGGATTTGGATAATGAAATATAGGCATGTGTGGGCCAAATGGGATAGTGCCATGGATAAAAAGAAGGCCTATGGTGACAAGACAGAAGCCACGGAAGTTCCTCCTGCCCGGGCCCCAGCTTGGACTTGAGCAGTCTAATCTGCACTGGCACCAAGTGCCCGGCTGGGTGCCCCCTGTGGGGAGATCCCCCGGCCTCCCTCCACAAAGGCCCTGAATCCCCACACACACGCCAGGCACCTCTGCACTGTCCAGGGGCCACGTTAGGAAAGCCACAACATGGGACCCACTCCCCAAGACTGGCAGACAAAAGAGACTGAAGCTTTTCAGGAAATGATGAGAGAACGGAAAGTCACAAACAGCTATGTGACTGACTGGAGGTCAGAGCCCTGGCTGTGACAGCATCATCCCCGCCTAAGCCTCCCTCCCACCCCAAGGACCCAACCTCGCCACTGCGGCCCTCAGGGTCGGCAGCCCTGGCGCTGGAACCAGAGCCTCTCAGGGCTGAGGGACGGCAGCTCCTCCCGCAGAAGCTAACCCATAACTTCACGGACTTTCACATCATCGCTAGGTTTTATGCCAGTGTAATGCTCAGCCATTTTACGTGGGCTTATGTGCAGTGTGTATCAAAAAGCTCATTAAAAAAGAGAGGGAAAAATGGAGTGAGCATTGTTTTTGAAAGGCCCTTAACAGACTATAAAGTGCAGTGACTTTCATCCCCTGGGGCTTTCCCATCTTGAATCAGAGAGTTCCTCAGCCAAAGCAGCCTGTGGGCACGGGAGGTGGCAGGAAGTAGGAAGTGGTACCCTAGGGAGCAACCCCCCTGAGAGAAAGGGGGGCACTTGAGGCTGGGTGCAATCTGGTCCCCAAGCATAAAGCGCCCACAGAGTTGGCAAGGACCCTTGTCCGGGACACATGCAGAGGGCCAGTCGGATGTGAAGGACACAGCCCTCCAGGGTCCTGGCTACATTCCCCAGGTCGGACCCTGACCCTCATGCTTCTCTGGGCCTCCGCACAGTTCCCAGGGCCAGCGCCCAGCATGGAGAGAGGGAACACTCTCCACAGCTTCTAGAATCTTTTCCGCCTCTCAGGCTGGGCTGGGTTCCAGGAGTGGAATCTATACTGAATTCCTCTAAGCTACAACAGGGAGGGAGATAAGGAGAGGACAGCCACAGGACGGATTATTAGGCAAACATTAAAAATCATGTTTGCAAAGAATATTTAATAACTAGGAGAAATGCTCACAATATGTTGTTAAATGAAAACGTAAGCTATGACCTGAATGTTATGAAACACAGTGAAACAAGCACATGCCTTGCTGCATGGAATAGGGGCAGAGGAAAGAGACCTCGGCATCACCGGCGGTAACCTCTGGGGGGTAAGAGTTGTGGCCCGTTCCCATTCCAAATTCTCCACAGTGAAGAACTGTCTTCACTATTGGAATTCATTGTGTTAAAATATATTAAGTACTTGGTAATATTTCTTCCCAAAGAAAATGCTTCACTGTTGTATCCCAGTTGGTGCCAGCAGCACCTAAACAAGTATTGTTATCCCTTGCTAAACAAACTGTCACCACAGCTAGGAGGCACCAGTGCGGCCAGACCCTCCATGAAAGGACCTCACACTGATGTGGCGCTCACAGTCTGCACCTCACAGGTGCGCCCTGGCTCCCCTCACAGCTGAACTGCACTTGACAGCTCCACCCACGCAAGTCACCCAGCAGACGACAGCACAGCACGCACAGCAAAGCTCCTGGCCGTACTGTACTTGACGGTCTGCTTGGCCTCCCAGGCCGACAACAGGCGATTCCCAGGCCAGGCCAGTGCTCTCTGCTCCAGCCAGGGGTTCTGGGGAGCCTTGGGCAAGCGCCACAGCAGCCCTGTGAGGTGGATGATAGAGACAGCTGGGCTCAGAGAAGCTGAGAGACTGGCTACAGCCACACTCGAGGCAGGGGAAGCCAGCAAGAGTGAATGGGTGAGGAAGCCCTGCTGGCCTTGGTCTGGACCCTACCCTGTGGCCTCCCCAGCAGCAGGTGAAGACCCCACTTTCACTGTGACTCCCCACCCCCTACTCTGTGACCCCACGAGAAAGAAGGAATAAGCACAAGCATGTTTCCCACCTCTGGGGCCCAGAGGGGTATGCTCCAGGGGCCATGACAGGGTGTCTGTGGGTCCTGTAGGGATTCCTTGCCCCAAATCAGCTACAGAAAGTTTATTTGCAGCTCCCGGAAACCTCAAGGAAAAGCAAAGTAAAGACAGCTGCGCAGCCTCCTGCACTGCTCCAGGCAGAGGCCATGCCCCACAGTAGCCTCCCCACCCACAAGATGGCAGGGATGCCGCCGCGAAGACACCCTGTCCTACCTCTCCCTGGCCAAGGTCCTCTCTCAGGACATGATCATCTCTCAGGACATGAGGCAGCAGGGCACCCTCTGTAGCACCAAGGCTGCATGGGGCTGGGGGACATCCTTCTGACCCGTGAGTTATGAAGGAGGGCGACCCTTCCAGCTGAAGCATGTAACAGCCAGTGCAGGGCCTCAGGGCTTCATGGTAAACATGAGGCAGCAGTGAAACATCACCTCTTCCGTTTGAAGCTACTGAGCCTTGGGGACTCTTGTTCCCATGGTCCATTCTGAGATGCAGCTTTGAGAAGAAGCTGGCACTGTAGGCATCTGGGATCCTTTTTCACCATTCAGTACCAATACCGTCAGGCCTGGATGCCAAGGGAGCAACCCGCTACCTGTAATTTAATCTCACAACTAAAGAATAGCATCCAGATAGGGGCTGGCAAGTGACTCTGTGGTAGAGCCCTCAAGACCCTCGCCCTGGAGAGATCTCGACTGGAGTCGATGGAGCCAGGCACTGGAGTCAGACATCTGCTCTTTCTCTTATAGCTTACCCATCCCAACCAGCTCATCTTCAAAAGAAGACACCGGGCTGTGGAGTCACCCCCAGAGCGATACACCAGCGGACTCGGGGCTCCACGTGGGTCCCAGGACACCCAAGGGTGGATGAGTCTTTGGGTTGGACTCTGCTGGCAGGTTCTCGGCTCAGCCCTGGCGAGTACCTCTTGGATGCTGAGTGGGGGTCTTATCTCTCTCTCCAGGGGCAGGGACAGGGTTGGCACAGGGTAGCAGCACCCAGGAAGGGATTGGCCCTGTCCTGCTTCCACACCACCCTGCACATCCTTGTTCTGCACACTAGGCTAACACTGGAGGAACCCAAGCCCATGGAGGTCATGGGCTCCTCCAACACCTCGGTAGCGTGTGTGTGTGTGTGTGTGTGTGTGGTGGTGGGAATGGAACCCAGACCTTGCACATTGGTGGGTGCACTGGCCCACCAGAGCCTTTCTACAGCACCTCAGGGCCCTGCCTTCGGGGAGTCTGCAATCTCAGGCAAAATACTGGCTCTTCAGGTGGCCTGGGCAATAAAGTCACAGAGACCTCATTGTCTTCCCAGAACTTTCAGCCCCAGCATCAGCTTTGAGGTCTGAGAAGTGGGGGGGTCATCTGTGTGTGTCTGCTCCAGTGGTTTCTGAGGTGCCCAAAGCAGAGCCACCCGTGGTGACACCAGAAAAGGCTGCAGTTCCCGCGTAGGACCTGGATGGCAACTCTGAAATCCCAGCAGTTCAAGGACCCTCACAGGGACCCTCCTTCCTGACCCCATTTTCCCCAGGAGTCAGCAGATACAAGGTCTGAAACGGGAACAATTTAGTCTCTTTCAATTAATCATCTGTTCTAAAGATGACGTCTCAGAGTGGATTTGTGACAAGGACTGGATTACTCAGACTTATCCTGGAAAAGGCAGGAGTCTGTGTGAACAGGTCTCTCCCTCAGCAGATGGTCCCCTTCTCCGCATCTCCCTGGATGATTATCCTGCCTCTCAAGGCAGCGGCAAAACCAAAATGGGGGTGACACAGGACGAGGCACCTGTCAGGGAGCCACAGCACCTTTCAGGGAGCAACGGCACCTACCGGCGCGGGCTGGCCTTCTGGGAACCATTCCTGCTGCATTTTTGTTTCCTTCTAATGAATGTCCTTAATCACTTCTAGCCTGTGGTGCAGGGAAAGCAGGTAGACTTTGGGGGTCAAACGCTGGGTCCGAGGGGAGATCCTGCCATTTATGAGCCGTATGTTGGAGCACTTCACTTAACCTCCTAAGCATCAGCTTTCTGAACTGTAGCAAGAGGAGAAGAGTGTTGTAGGAGGACAAAGATGCTGCATGTAAATTGTCAGCATAGTGCCACGTATTTGTTAGGTCCCAACTCACATGACGTCCCAACCCGCCCCGCCGAGCCAGCATCTCCCAGAGCCAGGCTCGTTGAAGGCCACTTCCTCGGGGGTGAAATGGGGACTGAAAGACACATCCTCCCCACCTGACCCAGTCACTGAGAGGATTGGACACTGCACAAAGAGGCCCACACAGCACATACGAGAGTGAGACTGTCTCACTCTCACTGTGCATGTCCGTACAGGGGCCCGCAGCTATGTAGACAGCGCGGTGCAGCCAACCAGATTGTCCTAACTCGTCAGTGAGCCTTTAACTGTCCTCGGCCCAGCTGCCTGGTACCCCCCCAAGTCCCCGTGCATACAGAGACGGCACAGCCTAGCGAAAGGCATTCCACAAGTACACTGACTGTACATGGCAGTTGTGGGCTGGACACACAGCTAGGTGTCCTCAGGCAACTTCTATGCTTCTCTAAGCCTCAGTCTGCTGACCTGTAAGTTGGGAGTAAAAATGATAATTGTTGAGGAGATGTGAGAATTTGCTCATATTCACTTATTCCTTCCCTCCAACACTGCACTGGAGATTCTATCCAGGTCAGAAGGCAAGGAAAAGAAAATTCACCCAGACTGGAAAGGAAGAAGGAAAACTACCTTAATATACAAATGAGATGATCCTATACATTGAAAATCCTAAGGAATTCATAAAGGCACTACTAAACTGATAAGTTCAGCAAGTTTGCAGGAGTCAAGATCAATAGACAAAAATCAATTACATTTGTAATGAACAATGCTGAAAATTAAATTAAGAAAATTCCATTTGTAATAGCTTCAAGAGGATAAAATACTTAGAAAAATGTAATGAAAGACCTATAAAACTTTGAAAACTACATAATATCATTGAAAGAAATTAAAGAAGATCTAAATAAGTAAAAAGACATCCCATGCTCATGGATTAAAAGACTTAATATTGTTAAGGTGACAATACTTCTCCAATTGAGCTATAAATTCAATATAATCCTTATCAAAATTCCAGCTGGCTTCTTGGCAGAAACTGACAAGCTGTTTCTAAAGTCCATATGGAAATACATGGGGTTTTGGAAAGCCAAAATAATCTGGAGAAAGCAAAACACAGTTGGAGGACTCACATTTTCCAACTCCAAAATTGAGTACAAAGCTACAGTAATCAAGACAATGTAATTCTAGTGTAAAGGTAGACATGTAGATCAATGGAATGGAGCATTCAGAAATACATCCTCACACTTAGAATCAGCTGACTTACAAAAAGGTTTCCAAGACAGCTCAGGAGAAAGAATAGTCTTTTCGACAAGTACTGCAGATGGGAGTGGATGTCCGTGTGCAAAAGAATGGAGGTGGACCCCTCCCTCACAACATCTACAGAAATTAAGTCAAGATGGATCAAAGATAGAAGAGCTACAGCTATAAAACTCTTAGGCAGGGCCAGGGACTTAGCTCAGTGGTGCCACTGCCTGCCTTGCAAGCACAAGGTCCTGAGATGGATCCCCAGTACCAAAAAAAAAACTCTTAGGCAAAAATATAGGAGTGAGTCCTTGTGACCTTGGGTTAGGTGGTAATTTCTAGGATACAAAACAATACAAACTGGACACCATCAAAGTTTAAAACTTTTATGCCTCAAAGGACACCATGAAGAAACTGAAACCACAGAAGAAAATAAGGGCCTTGTATCTACAATATATAAAGAACTCTTACAGCTGAATACTAAAAAGACAAGGCATTTTTAAGTGAGCAAAGGAAATGATGTCAAAACTATATATATACAAGACCAGCAATTTGACTCATAAGTATACCCACCTAAAAGAACTGAA